TAAAACAGCAACACAATATCCATCAAAGGAGCAACTCCACTTGAAAGCTAAGAATCAGACTGAAGCAAATTAGACTATTGCTTTAATGATGATAATTAAGGATTATAAATTCACCAAACTACCCTGCTGTAATGGACTAAGAAGGTTTGTTTATCCCTTCTCTGTCCTAGGGGAACAAATTATCTCATGAGTCCATTTTAACCAATGCCATTTAAAAGCTGATGAAATGCATAAACAGTTCATTCTATTAATATAAAAATCCTTTATAGGACATAAATATGAACCAAAGTGTAAGTAGCATTACGAGCAAAGTGGGAAGTATTGCTGTAGCATTGCCCGTAGAAATAAGGCACAAAAATTCCTGTTATTTTAAGACCCTACTCCGTGTGTGTGTGTGTGTGTGTGTGTGTGTGTGTGTGTGTGTGTGTGTGTAAGCCAGAGATCAACCCTGGATGTTGCCCCTCAGAACTGTCCATCTTGTTTTCTGGAATAGACTCTCTCTACTGGGACACAGGACTCACAGATTAAGCTAAAATGGTTAGTCTTCAAACTCTAACGATCCTCCTGTATTCACCTTCCCAGTTACTGGGATTACAAGCATGCATCAACCATGACCAACTTTTCATATGGGTTCTAGGAATCAAACTTGGGTATTCATGGTTGTGAGGCAAGCAACCTATTACTGAGCTATCTCCCCGATCCTGAAGTGAAGTCATATCCCATCACGGTTTTCGTTTCTCTGTTGGTTAGTGTATTAGTTACTTGTCCCATTACTGTAATCAAACATCTAACCTGAGGAAAGGATTATTTTAGCGTTCAGCTAGAGGGTAGTCCATCACGCAGAGAAGGCTGCAGAAGTTGATCACACTGTGTCCCAATCAGGAAGCCGAGAAAGGGGGAAGACTGATGCTGAGTTCACATTCTCCTTTCTATTTGGTACTCATGGAATGGTGCATGGAGTGGTGCTGCCCGTGTTAACTTTTTCTCACCTCAATTAACCCATCTAGAAAACTCCTTAGAGGCACGCCCACAGGTTTGTCTCCTAGGTCGTTATATCTAGATCCTGACAAGTTGACATCAGTATTAGCCACTGCATTCAGTTATATGGAGCGTTTCCCCTATACCTGGTGTACATATTCTTTTAAAAATGTATGTTTAGGTTTATTGAGTTATTTGTGTTTGGGGCCACTGAGGGCAGAGGAGAGGAAAGAAGAGGAGACGGGGAGGGGGAGGGGGAAGGGAGAGAAAGGAGAGGAGACGGGGGAGGGGGGAGAGGGAGAGAATGTGTGTGTGTGTGTGCACGTAAAGCCCATTTGGAACACAGAGGCTGACGAGACATCTGGTGTCTCTGTCAGTCAATCCCCACCTTTTTAGTCAGGGTCTCTCACTGCACCCGAAGCTCACATTTTCAGTTAGACTTGTTTGCCAGTGAACCCCCAGCTGTCCTCACCCCCACCCCACCCAAGCACGGGGTTAAAGATGCCCTCTGCCGTCCCTGGCTTTAATGTGGGGCTGGGGATTTGAACTCGGGCCATTCTATGAGTACTCTGTACACTGAGCCGTTTCCCCACTCCCCTAGCTATTAAGTGTTTCCTTAAAAACTCTGGGTCTTGATCCCTTGTAAGATATGCACTCTGCAAACATTTCCTTCCGTCCTCAAGCTGTCACTTCATCCCGCTGACTTCTCCCTTTGCCTCACGGAAGCTTCCCAGTCTGATGCAAGCTAAGGCTGTTTACTCTAATTCTCTTGCCTTATTTTATTGAAACAACTTACTAATTCTGGAACAACTAGGCACACCGCAGACATGAGGATAAATAGGGTAGGTAAATACTCAAATGGGAAGATTCAATTTCATATGAAGACTTTTAATTCAAGATGTTAGATGGAAGATTTATGTGTTCTCTTTACACAACTTGCCATACTGTAGCCAGACAAGCAAAAGAAGCAATAAGACGCTAACAAAAAGGAGAAAGTGGGGTAGTCACCTGTATAAAAGACCTAGCAAAATGGCGGAATTCGAAGGCAAGTGTGATTTTGCTAATGGGTGAGGAAGCAAGGTGGAGACAGCCCTAACCCAGAACCGGCACCCGACAGCCTACAGGAACTAGAAGCAAACTGCTGTGGGAAGCTTGAGGGAATCCAGAGAGCCAGCCTTAGGACACTGGAGGGTGCTGGGCTCGGTGCCAACCAGCAGGAAAGAGGACAGGACTGAGCAAGTGAGTCTGACGACAGCAGGGACATTTGAGTAGCTGGACCTGGACCTTGCGGGCCGGCAGCCTGATTGCTTCCTCCACTCAACAGAGGTCAGTCCAAAAACAAACAAAAACCCAAGCAAACAAGAAAACATTTCTGGTTGGGCCTGCTAACACAGTACTTCTCCGAGGTTAAGACGGTCTGGGCTACATAATAAATACCAGGCCATTCTGGGTTACAGTGTGAAAGTTTGTTTCTAAAAAACCAAGAAGTTGAGCCGGGCATTGGTGGCGCACGCCTTTAATCCCAGCACTCAGGAGGCAGAGGCAGGCGGATGTCTGTGAGTTGGTGGCCAGCATGGTCTACAGAGCGAGTTCCAGGACAGCCTCCAAAACAATACAGAGAAACCCTGTCTAGAGAAAAAAAAGAAAGAAAAGAAAAATGGGGTTTCTGAAGAAAAGAGGAATCCGAGGAAGTCAAAGCTCCTATGTGGGTACAGGATGACCAGAGGAGTACTCCAATGACACAAGAGGCCTAGGACCATAGAGCAAAGCAACAGCCACTACATCCCGGCTCTTGAGGAGACTCAAGCAGCCGCCACACAAGTCAGGAGTCTACTGAGAAAAACAGGACAACTTTCTACCACACCAGTTACCCAATCCTTTCTGAAACAGACAACAAAGATCGGTAGGGACAGGAGGAAATCCAGGGGCAAGAAGAAGAAGAGCCAAGAAAACACACATGGAAAATAAAACACGCATTAGGATAAAGGGAAATAAAACACTTTAAAATTCCTATGGAAGCTGTGAACGCTTTCTGGGGTACAACACTTGCCTGGCAGACCTCAGCTTTGGTCTTCAGCAGGGGCAGGGCAAAGGAGTGGGGTGGAAGGAGGGCAGGGACATCTGTCATCAAAACACTACAGAGGGGGCTGGAGAGATGGCTCAGCCAGTTAAGAGCACTGACTACTCTTCCAGAGGACCCGGGTTCAATTCCCAGCACCCACATGGCAGCTCACAACTGCCTGTAACTCCAGTTTCAGTGGATCTAACACCTTCACACAGACATGCATGCAGGCAAAACACCAATGCTCGTAAAATAAAAATAAATAAATAAATAAATAAAAACTAAAAAAAAAAACACTAAAGAGGAAAACCCACACGCAAACACACGGGGCTGGGAATGAAGCCCAGTGGCAGGTGAGGCCCCGGGTTCAGTCCCCAGCACTCAAACAGAGGAAACAAACTTGGAAGAATGTTCTAAAGCAAATTTTAAACACTTGGACTTTCAGAAGTGTTTACGAAAATAAGGAAAGTGAACAGATGATCTGGGAATAAATTTAAAAACGACCAGAGGCCTGGGAATTTAGCTCAGTTGGTTAAGCCCTCTCCTAGCATGTATGCATTGCTGGTCAGATTCCCAGTCCTACATAAACCAGACATGCTGGTATGCTGGCTTGCGTGCATGTGCAGGCACACTTTATTTTTTTTTTAAGAAAAGAATTCATGGTCATCTTCTGCCACATGAGAAGTTCAAGGCTAGCCTGGGATTCACAATGCCCTGTGCGATGGTTATTCTTGGTTGTCACCTAGACACACCAAGAAGAGGGTGCCTCAGGTGAGGAGCTGCCTCCCTGAAGTTAGCTTGTGGGCATATCGACGGGGCATTTTCTCAATTGGGTCTGGACTGCAGAAAAGCTGAGCGGGCCAGGAAAGGCAGCCAGTAAGCAGCATCCCTCCACGATGTCTGCTTTAAGACCTTCCTTCAGGGTCCCCCCCAAGCTCATTCCCTTCACGATGGACTTTAACCGGTACGCTGAGATAGACCCTATCCTCCCTGAGTCGCTTCTGGGTTCCTTATGAGACTGGATACAAAGATGGACATAAGAAACTACAGAAGACACAAGGAACCAATCCAAGAGACACAGGACCTGACCCAAGCCCCAGAAAGAGGAGACAGAAGAGTATAACAAACCATGAAGTGAGCATATCCTAGAGCTGAGGTAAGAGAGTTCTAAGTCTTACAGCCCAAATGGACGTTGGGCATGGGGGCATATGCCTGTAATCCCAGCAAGTGGGAGGCAGAAGTAGACAGAAATAAGTCTCACAGAAGTGAGTTCAAGCCCAGCCTGGTTGATATATGTTCCAGGCCAGCCAAAGCTACATAGCAAGACCCTAGCTTAAAACAAAACAAAGACAAAAAAAAAAAAAAAAAAAAAAAGACTATCCAAAGGGCACAGCTAGTGCTCAATACAATAGATAGCCTGTACCAATCCCTCTCTCTGGGGAATTTAAAACAACTATAAAAAAGAAGAGATCACAAGATCATGTACAAAGTGGCTCCTTGACAACGAAAATAGTAGATAAGGAGCCGTATTTTCAATTTTTCAGGAAAAAAAAAAAAGTTTGGCTCCAAATTCTACACCCAGCTCAATAACAAATAGGAACCAGAATATAACAAACTCAGCTTTAGACATGAAAGCACTCCAAGGTTCACACCCTTCCTAAAGAACTTATTTCAGGATGTACGCCAGCAAGGACGGCATAAACCAAGACACAGGAAAACTCAGGGTCCTAAAAAAAAATGAGTTCAATCCTGAGAGGGGGGAATCCCAGGGAGACAGTGTGCTGTAAGCCCAGAAAATCCATGTGATTTGGAGAATGGAGGGGTATTGGTTCTAATCTTAAAAAGAGGGGGTGCAAAACATAAAATATAACCAAGAGTACAGAAAAGAAAACGGCTCTATGACAAAGGCATGTTGTGCCAGGAAAAAAAATAATAATCAAGGCACTTAGAAAAAACTTACCAAGTTCCCTGAAAGAGGACAGAGAAGAGGACGGAGGAGCTGGGCAGCAACCAGAGAACAGCCTGAAGCACAGGGAGGCCAGGGATGGCGATGCACCCCTTTAATCTCAACACTCAGGAGGCTGAGGTAGGACCAGCCTAGGCTGGAGTCGTGAGTTCCAAGCCTCCCTGAACTACAAAGTAACAACTTGGTTTTTTTGTTTTTGTTTTTTTTTTTTAAAGAACCAAAACCAAACCCCACTCTATGCACAAAGGAAATAGACATCCGAGCATGACATCCAGCACCCTGATTATGAAGAATTGATGGTTTATGAGAAAAGAGAATCCAGTTGCTATAAATGTTGAAAGCCTGGGAGCCCAAGGGTCATTACCCCTGCCCTAGAGAGAAGAAATGTAATCTTAGCATATGAACTAGGTCTACACTGAATAGTATTTATAGAATCACATTTTAGGGAACTCTAAAATTAGAGATGTCTTTCATCTTAGGCCAGAACAAACTCTGATTATGTTGGGTCTCAAGACATAAATTTCAGTATGCTAGGACCATTTACTTTGCCTTTTTAAAATATAGTATCAACTGACATCCAGGTCTCCCTTTCGATGCTCTCTCTCTGGAGGTGAGAGTCATTTTCATTATTCAAACGGTTGGATGTTCTTCAACTAGCCCACTTTGCTTGGAATTAGGGGCAGATATGTCTGCACCTACAGCTGAGTATAGTCAGGTAACATTCAATAAGAAAACTCAGGGAAGAAGGCCTGTGACTCTCTCAAATATAGCTCCTATTCTATTGGGACTGGTTTTAAATCATTATTCTTTAACAGAAATGTCAGAAAGCAAGCAAACCTAGGGAATCTGCACAAATGCTACATTTTCTTCCCTACTGGCAGACATGTGGTGTTCTCTGGGAAAGGAAAAATCCTAACAATGGACTTAATATCAGGGGCAACTGTTAAGGTCTGAGGGTCTCGGGTTTATGAGGGGGATTTCATTTTCATAGGAAAATGAACAACCTGTAGTAGTATAATTAGTAGTTTTCATATTTATTTTTTTCTTGCACAACTTCACAGAGATACATAATATATTTTGATCATTTCCCCACTCTGTTACCTTCCAAGCCCCTTCCGCCCAAGTCCCCCACTACCTTTCATATCTGCTCGATGTCTCTTTATTTTTGTGCCTCACTGAATTTAATTAAGGTTTCTTGGGTTGCTGAGATGGTTCAGTGGGTAAATGTGCCTGCTACCATGCCTGATAATCGAAGTTTGATTGCCTGAACCAATGAAGTGGAAGGAGAAAATGGATCCTGCAACAATTTGACCCCCATATCTATGCCATGGCATGTATACAACCACACATGTCCACACACACAAATATATGTGAATAAAAACATAATAAAGAGTTCAAATGCAGCAGCACTGACACATGAGGCCTCAGGTGGAATTCTGTGAGTTAAAGGCCAGCGTGGTATGCATAGCAAGTTCCAGGACCACCAACGTAGGACTACACCCAGCCTCAAGGAAAAGGAAAAGAAGAACCCACAAATAAAGTAATACAGAAAATCAGCTGTCATAACGAATATATGAAAATTTCTTTGTCATATATCTTATTAATTTCTTCCAGCATCCACATTCATCATACTAGGCAGCCTCTAGGATATACACAATATTCTTTAGAGACACAGTTAGAAGTGAGAGGTGTAGTTTCCAGGTAAGTGAGACAAATGCTTTGGGAGTAAAGCAGATCAGAGTGAAGGGGAAGGAAACACTATGATCAGCTATACGCTTTTACTTACTGTGTCTACATTCTTTGACGTAAGGAGTTAATTAATATATCTAACCAGCTCCATAAAGCTCTGTATCTTGAGTCAGATATAGCGGTGCATGTGTGTGATCCCAGACCAAGAGGCAGGAGAAGCACTTAGAGTTCAAGACACCCTGGTACACACCCAAGAACGTTTCTCAAACAAGCCAAGGAACAAATAAAACACCCCTCCTCCACTCCCCAGTAAAACCCTCTCCATATCTCTGTAAGTGCTTAAGCAGATTCTACTGACCCCCTGCTCTGAGCCAGGCATAAGGGACAAGGAGAAGAAACGGACATCTCGGCTGTGGAGGAGCTCACAGCTTTGAGAAAAGACAGGAAAATCCCCGACGTAGCTCGCTTCAGTAGCATGGGAGAGGCACAGGTGCTTAGAGTCTGGGGCAAACGAAAAAGGAAGCCAGAGCCCTGGAGGTTTTGAAGAGAGGGACTATTCAAAGGTCACTTCCTCTGTGAACTGAGACTTTAGAAGATAAGCGAGAACGAAACAGATGAGCAGATATAAAGGTTCAGTGGAGGAAGAGCACTGCAGAACAAAGAGGAAACGGCAGAACGGGGAAGTGGTTACGGGGCGGGGCAGCAGGGAAGCGGTTTCGTGATAGAGCGCTTGTTGTGGGCTCAATCTACAACACTGCAAAATTAAAAAACAAATACATACATATGACTTAAAGAGGAAAGGATGGGGCAGACTCAGGAGAGTTAAGTGGCATGCTGGTGTGTTTAGAAAAGCCAAGCATCTCAAGACTGCTGAGCATGGCGTCTGTGGCAGCCGTGTCAGGAATGGAAGGCCAGGCTCTCCACAGAGCCAGACCTCCTGAAGGCAAAGGAGCTGGGAAGCGAGTCCACAGAAGGACGAGCATATAAAAAAAAAAGAAAGGGAAGCCCCGTTAGATTTGCACTCCGGGAAAGATGATGCTGAACCCAGGCAAGGAAGATGGCTCTGAACTGGTAGGGGAAGAACACTCCAGTGGGCCAGCCAGCCGAAGAACAAAAGCTATGATGGACTCATGTGTTGTTTAGTCTGCATGAATACACAACAGATTTGGGCACTGACTACTGTAAAAACAAAGAGTTTCCAAATTTGGTTATTTGTACTTTTCCTCTTGTCACAAGTACCCCAAACTTTCCCATAGTAATTGCCAGGTCAATACACACACATTTTTCTTTTTAAAACTACACATACACAGTTTTATATGGCTATATACGATCTAGGAGCCACAAAGTAGAGAGAAAAAAGATCAGTAACTTTCTGAGACTGTCTTAGTTTACTTAACACAAGGATCTTCCGTTGTATCCATTTTCCTGCAAGCAATATGACTTGGTGGTTCTGTTTTCTTTCTTCTTTCGTCTTTTTCTCCTCCTCCTCTTCGATTTTTTTTTTTTTTTTGGTTTGTTTGTTTGGTTTTGGTTTTTCAAGACAGGGTTTCTCTGTATTGTTTTGGAGGCTGTTCTGGAACTCGCTCTGTAGACCAGGCTGGCCTCGAACTCACAGAGATGTGCCTGCCTCTGCCACCCAAGTGCTGGGATTAAAGGCTTGGCCACCAACACCCGCCAGGCTTGTTTTTTTAAACAATGTTTCTCTGTATAGTCCCAGCTCTCCTGGAATTCACACTATAAATCAGGCTAGCCTCAACCTCAGATCCACCTGCCTCTGCCTCCCCAGTGCTGGGACTAAAAGGCCACAACACCTGGCTGACTTGGTTGTTCTTTATGGTCAAAGGAAAAAAAAAATCAGTGTACACATGCCAAATTTGTTCTTATCTGTATCCCTGTTGTTGGCATCTAGGTTAGTTGCATAACTTAGTCACTGTGAACAGCGTTGTGAAATGCATAGCTCTCATCTGAAACTCTCTCCTTTGATGCCCTTTTCCCCCAGTGCTGCAAGGAACATGATCTTGCCTGGTTAGCCGGGCACCCTACCACAGTGCTACATCCCTAGTCCTGCTACCACAACAAATCTGACACTGCTAAGAAAGAAAGAAAACATTTTGGGAAATGAATGTTTTCTTTTAAACTCTTAGAATCCAGTCACATCTGTCTTTAGCAGAAAGAATTCCAAAAATGTCCTTCAGGATTCCTACTCCTTGGTTACAACTAAACACTAATCTAGGGGCTGTCATAGAAGGGTCTCTCCAGATGAACTGCAGTTGCTAAACAGAGGACATTTGACAGAAGCTGTCCTGGTGGACTCAATGCGATTAATTACACAGGCCTCAGGAGCAGAGGGGGTATGGCAGAAGAGTTGGCGAGGTGCAGGGAGAAGGAGAGGGGAAGAAGAATGGGAAGCTGAAGACACAGGGCCCCCGCCCCTCCCACCCCACCTTCCCATCCCCCAAACACTGTTGCAGCGTTCCAAGATGAGAATATTGAGTGCTGAGGTTAAGAACAACCCACCCAGCAGCCACCGGGGAGAACTGGGGACCTCAGTCCCACAACCACATGGAAATGAGCTCTGATAACATGCTAACGGAGTCTGAAAACCAATTTATTCTTAGAACTCTGGAAATAGGCCTAGAGACCTTGACTTCATCCTTGTGAAACCTGGACCAGAGAGCCAAATGAGTCACACTGGGCCCAGACATGTGACCTACAGAACTGAAATCGGGGCACAAATAACTCAGCTTTGTTTCAGCTGCTAAATCTGTGGTGACTGGTTGCAGGAACACTGTAACACAAATACATTTCCATAAATTACTTCAAATGTGGTTTTTTTTCCATGGGGCTGGGAATGGGGCTCAGTTAAACGCTTGCCCAGCATCCATGAGACCTAAGGTTCAAACCCTGGTACCTCATAAACCCTATGCATAATCCAGCACTCGGGAGGTAGAGACAGAAGGGTCACAAGTTCAAGGTCATCATCTGCCACACTACAACTTCAGGGCCAGCCTGGGCTATAAGAGCTATTGTTTGAATAAATACCAGTGTTAGGCATTTGAATGCCTGGAACTGGTTGACCTGTTTGGGGAGGCTTAGGAGGTGTTGACTTACTAGAGATGTCAGTGACAGTGGGTTTTGAAAGCTTGAAGACCTTTGCCATTTTGAATTTATTCGCTCCATGGTATGTGAGTTCTCAGCTGTTCCTGATACCAAGCATGCCTACTGCCAAGATCATGACCAAGACACTCTGACTTTTTTTCCCCTTCCTTCCTTTTCCCCCTTTTTCTGGTTTCTAAGACAGGGTTTCTCTGTGTGTTTTGGCTATGCTGGAACTCACTCTGTAGACCAGGCTGGCCTTGAACTCCTGCCTGATTTTTTAAAATGCAGAGTGAGGAGTGAGTTGTGGTACCGACAATAAGGTTTAATAACCCAATAACTGACTTGTTGTGTTTGTGCACTAACTCATTCAGAAGGCTGTAAGTACAAGCAAAATCTTTCAGGAATGTCTGTTATTTGCAAAGAAAGGGGAGTATTTACAATAATCCATAGTCCCACTGCAAAACATCAAACTGGAGCAATAAATC